TTCTCTCTCTTATATAATGAAAGATTTAATCTTATCCCTAATTTAACCATTTCTCTACCTTAGAAAACCAGTGAGAAAACCAATGGAGTAACATCTCTGACCACCTGCATGATCTTGCAAAACTGAACCAGTAGCTAATTCTCTGTCCTGAATAAGTGAGGCCTATAAATATTGACCTTTATATGAAAGCCAAAAACTTTCTTGAGGCATTGTTAAGGGTAAAAAAAACAATAATAATAAGACTGAAGTATTGTAGAGACCGATATGAGATGCAGTAAGTTAGATGAGTTCTGGGAATGGATATTTAATGTCAGTCCAGCAGTCCAGGATTCAAGACATTAAATTGAACACTTACACAACACTCCAGTGCCCACAACTCTTAACCCCTTTAAACTGTTTTCCACAAAGTAGAAGAAGTGACCTTTATAATTATTTTTAAACATGTTACTCTTGTATATATACCTTAGGTTTAGAGTAAGAATAATACAAAATCTTTAGCAGTGAGTTCTCATCCTGACCAAAATGCTGTCAGAGGAATTGGATTCACACTTCCCCCTGGAATAACCAATAAACTAGACAAATATAGAACATAATGTTTTTAATTCGTTGAACTCTAAGCCCAGGATCCTTAGGGAGGAAAGAAATGAGGTGAGTCCTCAGTTGGCACCAGTCAGCCTCCTGGAGAGTATCCAGGAGAAAGCACAGGAAAGGAGACCTGGCAGAGTCTCCGTAGTCGCCATCAAGGGAGGACAGGGTAATGGAGTTCATGGGACAAAGTGGCAGACCTCTCAGGAGCTCTGCAGAGGGACACCCTCTAGTCTTCAGCTGGATGACGATCACCGGGTGTGTGCCAAGAAACTGCATGGGGCCAAGAGAAGACACACAGTGGAGCACGCTGAAAATGTTTTAAGGTACTCACAGGAAACTGAAAATGTTTGAAGGCCACATTATTTAGAGTGGAAAGAGTAGAAAGCATCAAAAGGCACAGCATGTGGAAAAGTGTTCAGAAGAGCCTTGTCTCTGAAGTGGATTAAAATTGGACCTAGCCCAAAGCCTGTTTTGGTGAGATTTAGCAAAGATTTAAAGCCAATCTTAAATAAATAAATAATTTTTAAAATGAGCTACTTCAAGTAATTTAATTTAAATTAAGTGCTTTAAGGACAGATGAAACTCATTTGTGGAAATTACAAAACTATCCAAAGACCAATAAAATAACCAATGAATATGACCAGTGCCTGGTATCCAAAGAAGCAGGAAAGTATCATTCATAATCTGAAAAAAAAACAATCATATAAACAGAAGACTCAAATTATAAACAAATTTATTAAATCAGTTATCCTATATGTTCAAAAAAGTAGGAGAGTTTATTTAGCAAATTCAAGGAAGAAATGAAGAAAACAATGCAAGTATGTTTCTAAAGATAAAAGATCACTATGATTGAAAAGGAGAGTATACCATATGGTGCTAACAGCCAATTAAATGCTTCAGGAAAAAAAAAAAGATGTGCAAACTTGGAGACACAGTATTATAAATAAATAGAAATAAAATACAGAGCAAAAATACAAAAAAGGAATGCAGATAACCTCAGTGAGTTGTGAGGCAACTTCACACAGACTGGAATGGTGATGCTGAGATGCAAATGTGTGAAAAAGCAGCAGTTAAAAAAAATTCAAATTTGATAAAATCTCTAATCCCAGAGATCTATCTATCATTTTTCTAAAAGCTTTCTGAGAATTTTCTCTATTTTTTATTTTTATTTGTTGTTTTTAGTTATTCATGGCAGTAGAATGTATTTTTACATATTATACATACATAAAGTGTAACTTATTCTATTTAGGATCCCATTCTTGTGGTTGTACACAATGCTGAGTTACCCTGGTCATGTATACAAATATAAGACTAGGAAAATTACATCTTATTAATTCTGCTGTCTTCCTCTTTCCCTTCTCCCACCCTTCCCTTTGTTTCCCTTTGTCTAATCCAATGGACTTCTATTATTCCTCTCCCCAACAGAGAGAACATCCAGCCATTGGGTTTTTTTTTTTTTTTTTTTGGAATTGGCTTATTTCACTTAGTACGGTTCTCTTCAGCTCCATCCATTTACTGCCAAATGCCATTGTTTCATTCTTATTTATGATTGAGTAATATTCCATTGTGTATCAATATTACATTTTCTTTATTCATTTATCCATTGACGGACACCTAAGTTGTTTCCATAGCTTGACTATTGTGAGTTGAGCTGCAATAAACATTGATGTGGCTGCAACAGTATGCTGTTTAAAGGTCCTTTTGGTATAAAATGAAGAGTGGAAAAGTACATCAAATGGTAGTTTCATTACAAGTTTTCTAAAAAAAATCTCCATACTGCTTTCTATATTAGTTGCATCAATTGTAATCCCACCAACAATGTATGAGAGCACCCTTTTTTCCCACATCCTTGCCAACATTTTTTGTTACTTGTATTCTTTATACTTGACATTGTGACTTGAGTGTAGTTTTAATTTGCATTTCTCTAATTGCTATATATGTTGAAAATTTTTTCATTTGTTTTTGACTATTCATATTCTTCTTCTGTGAAGTGTTTGTTCAAGCCCTTTGCCCATTTATTGATTGGTTATTTATTTTTCTGGCGTAAAGTTTTTTGAGTTTTCTGTATATCCTGGAAATTAATACCTTACTTGAGGTACTAGTGATGAAGATTTTTCTCTATTATGTAGGATCTCTGTTCATGTTCTTAATTATTTCATTTGCTGTGAATAAACTTTTCAGTTTGATACCATTCCATTTATTGATTCTTGATTTTACTTCCTGTGCTTTAGGAGTCATATTGAGGAAGTCTGTACCTAAGCCAACATGATAAAGAGTTGGGCCTAATTTTTCTTCTAGAAGGCATAGGATCTCTGGTCTAATGCCTAGGCCCTTGATCCACTTAGAGTTGAGTTTTTTGCAGGGTGAGATATAGAAGTTCAATTTCATTCTGTTGCATATGGATTTCCAGTTTTCCTAGCAACATATGTTGAAGAGTCTATCTTTTCTCCAATGGATGTTTATGGTGCCTTTGTCTAGGATGAGATAACTGTATTTATGTGGGTGTGTCTTAGTGTCTTCTGTTCTATTGGTCTTTATGTCAGTTTTAGTGCCAATACCATGCTGTTTTTGTCACTATAGCTATGAAGTATACTTTAAGATTTGGTATTGTGATGCCTCCTGTATCACTTTCACAGTAAATATAGTAAGAACAGAACTTAACATTGTAAAAGCTATGTATACTACACCCAAGGCCAACATCATTCTAAATGGAGAAAAACTGAAAGCATTCCCTCTAAAAACTACAACAAAACAGTGATGCCCTTTTTTTACCACTCCTATTCAACACAGTCCTTGAAACTCTAGCCTGACCAATCACACAAAAGGAAGAAATTAAAGGGATACAGTTAGAAAAAGAAGAACTCAAACCATCCTTATTTGTGGATGACATGATTTTATATTTAGAAGACCCAAAAATCTCTATTAGAAAGCTTATAGCACTCATAAACAAACTCAGCAAAGTAGCAGGGTTTAAAATCAACACCAATAAATCAATTGTATTTCTATAAACCAAGGATGAAAGAGAACAGGAAAACTTTCACCTAGACAATAGCCTCAAAAAAATTTATTTGGGAATCAACCTAACAAAAGAAGTGAAAGACCTCTATAATAAAAACTACAGAACACTAAAGAAAGAAACTGAAGAGGATATCAGAAAATAGAAAGATATCCTGTGTTCCTAGATGGGCAGAATCAATGTTGTCAAAATGGCCATACTACCAAAATTACTATACAGATTTAATAAAATTCCTATAAAAGTAATGAAATTTCTATAAAGATTCAATGACATTCTTTACAGAAATAGAAAAAGCAGTCATGAAATTCATTTGGAAAAAATGAGATCTATGGATCTTAATGGATCCTGAATACAAGAAACATGGAAGTCTTTATCATATCCTGTAAAAAAAAAAAAAAAACCCTTAAGATCCACCTTTGCATTTGAATTTAAACATTACTCTTCAAAAAAGAGAAAAAAAAAACAAGAAAAAGCACATTTGTTCTTATTTTCTTTCTTCTGTACTATTACCTTGAAATACCTATTGTCCCTTTATGTACCTCTCAGTGCCTTTTAATGACAGAAGACCAAGTCCTCTGTGAAGCCTGATCATGAGCACCTCTTCTCTGCCATTTCCCCACCTTAATTTCAGCTGAATATATGTGAATATGCTCTCTTTGGAGCTTGCCTGAGTATCTCTGTATAGCTTTAATCAACTTGATTTCTTCTCCTGTTAATTGGGAGCATCTCATATTCGTGTTTAAATTCACAGAATATAACAAAATTCCTAGTAGGTTCCACCTTCAAGTGTTTAGGAGTGAAGAATATAAGCACTATGAATATGTCTTTGTTGTCACCATATTTTCAACATTGAGTAACACCTGAAATTAATCAGTGCTCAGTTATTATTTTTGAAGGGAGGAAGGAATTTTTATTGGCTCACATTTGCAAAATAAAATGGTGTTTATGTGCCTGTATGTGCCAGACATTGTTCTGAGCCTATTGCCACAGCAGAGAAAAAAATTCACAAGCTTGCATTCTAGCGCATATGTGCCTGCATTCGTGTGCATGTTCAAATTGTTCAGACATCCCACAGGTCATGGCTACATGAAAGCTTTGGGGCCCCAAGGCTGTGCTAGAGGCAGGTCCAAAATATAAAAATTGAAAGGTAGTGACTTGATTGCAATTATCACTGTGTGTTGAACAGAGAAAATTCTGGGTGTGTTATTTGTAGTACATTTCAGTCTCCCTAAACATAATTTTGACCATTGTTTCTGACTGTTTGAAAAAGAACTGAGATAAGCTTCTTTGGTTTGCAGTGTCTCTCCTCTTTTGAGAAATAGATTACGTAATCAGGGTGGAGGATGTGACTGACAAATGTATAGGTACTTAAATTCATGCATATGGATCTACTTATAAATACATCCTGTAGAACACCCACAGTGTTGAACCCTATTAGCCTATTTCCTACAGACCTTTCAGATCTCATTGACCATGAAGCTATCAGGTGCTTTTCTGCTTTTGGTCAGTCTGGCCTGCTTGTTCCTCTTCACAAGTGAGTTGTTCATTTCATGTATGTACGTATGGAATTCTGGACCAGACTGTCAATGTCAGCAGTTATGATGGGATATTTTTGTTGTTGATGATGAGGATGATAATGATGATGATGATGATGAGGATGATAAAGTTGATTAATAATGGTGATTACCTGTCATACTTTTGATTTAGAAGGGACTTTAATGCACAAGTTAGCTACTATGATTTTCTCTTTAATACTATACAAGAAATAGTTTTATCAAATTCTTAAAAAAACGAAGAAGGAGGAGGAGGAGGGGGAAAGGGAGGGGGAAGGGGAGAAGAAATTTTTATTTATTTATTTATTTTTTGTGGCCAACTGGCCATTGAAATGAAACCATACATGTGACACTTTCTCAAAATGAGACATTAATTGAGAAAACCTAAGGGCTTTGCCAAGTAAAT